CCGCGAAAGAAGCCCCGTCGCTTGAAGGCCATGGCACATGCCATGGCCCACGACTTGGAGTCGGCTTTTGCAGTCCAGCTGTTGCTACTGCTGCTACTACTACTACTACTACTACTACTACAACTACTACTGCTACTTCTCTCGACTCTGTCACGCCTAGTGGACACCAAGTCCTCGCAGAGCTGTCAACGGCGTGCCAAGCGAGTGACAAAAACCACCTACTCCTGCTGCTACGACTACTACGATTACTACGATTACGACGATGACTGCTACTTCTACGTCTAGATACTGTTAACTACTACTACGACGACTACAACTACTACTACTACTACTACTACTACTACTACTGGTACTGCGACTACCATCGCTGCTGCATTCATGTCGGCACTACTCCCGGCGATGCTGCTGCCACTGTACCCCTGGCACATGCTGCGCCACTGTTCCTCTTCGTGCCTTCGACCAGCTCAAACTTTGCCGGCCGAGGTCCTGGGCTGCTGCGGCTACGACGTCAAGGAGTGCTCGTCTTTGGCGGTGATGCGAAGCTTGGCTGCAGGGTTGAAGCAGGTCTTCAGCAGAACGAACCATGGCCTAGTCTTTGGAAGCCTTCTGATGTTGCAGTAGGCAGACGAAGTGTTGTCTTGATTTTTTTCTGCACCTTCTGCAAGCTGAGGCCAGACAAAGGCTTGCACCCGAGTCTTGCAAGCTGTTGCAGCTTTTGGTGACCTTCTTCTTGCAGTGATCCAACGCATCTGCATGCTACAGACTCCCTTGCAGTTGAAGTTGCACGTAAGGTCTTGGGGTAAACACTCATCCTGGCCCGTTGAGTGCTGAAGGTCCCGGGGACATTCGTTTTATCAAGACGTTGCTCAGCTTGAGAAAGCGCTTCCCCAACCAGGCTGGGCAGTGGTTTTCAGAGCATGCATGGTACTGTCCAAACAGCACATTTGAAATGCCTTTTGCACGTGTAGTCTGTGTAGTCGAAGTAGTATCATATGAGCGACAGGCGAAACTTCCTGAAGAGCTAGACTGCCTATGGGGGGGAATAGCACGCGATGGTTGCGGGAATAAGTTCGATTTGTGTGGGCCGCGACAGCGCGTATGCTGAAGGGTTTAGATTTGATATCGATTTGAAGTTTGTTCGTGCTGCATTGTGTCACAAAGCGGGGGTGGGGGGGGGTCAAAACGACGGAGCCTTGGTTTTCAGGTTTTGCCAAGGGGTCCAGGAAACGTCTTTGCATGGAAAAGTAAGTAGGCAGTTAGTGCCGGAAATGCATCCGGCCACCACCGTACTACTATATACTACAGTAGTAGCAATAGAACTTGCAGCGTCAGTGGCCGGAGCAGAGGCAGTACAGTAGCTGCCGGGGGGTAGGAGTAGGAGTGAGAGTAGGAGTGGGATGAGGAGTAGTAGCAGGAGTAGTAGTAGTGGAAGTAGTAGTAGTAGTAGTAGTAGTAGTAGTAGTAGTAGCAGCAGCAGCAGCAGTGGTAGTGGTAGTGGTAGTGGTAGTGGTAGTGGTAGTGGTAGTGGTAGTGGTGGTAGTAGCAGCAGCAGCAGCAGGAGGAGTTGCAGTAGCACGTGGTAGCATCAGCAGCAGTTGGAGCTGGAGCAGCA